CTGGCTCTCGGAATCTACGACCCTATGGCTCCCGCCTACGGGTCATCGGCCAAGCAAGGCCCAGGATCCTGGCGAGCTGCTCCGGCCACCGTCGGGTCCTCGTCCTCGTCACCCGTATCAAAGTTGGGCCTCCAGGCCGGGTGCCAGGCGCGGCGAGGCAGGTGCCCGAGGCCAGGTCCTGTCCCATACCTGCGCTTGGCCCTGCGTGTCTGCCTGGAGCCAGTCCACATCGATCCTGGTCAGGGCCCAGCAGTCGTGCTGGGCGACTTCCCGTGGGCACCTGAGCAAGAAGCCGGCGAGCGGCACCCTCGAGCCACGGCCGGACGCAGTTGGCGAGAAACTCGTCCTCATGTCGGGCGACGGCGCCGAGGGAGTCGAGCCGAATCACCCGGCGTCCGGTCGTTGTAGTAGACGGCCCCGGCGAGGCTGGTCTGGACGTCGAAGGTCTCGGGGCCGCCCACCCCAACGAAGGGGACTGTGAAGAAGTTCCCGGCGATGCGCGACGGCATGGCTCACGAACCTTGCTTGGTCAGGCAAAAGGGCGGGGGGGGGCGGGCGGGGAAGCAGGAAGCCAAGGAGCAGATCTCAGAAGGCGTTTCACACCCCTGGCAGCCCTAAGTTCCAAAGCGAAATGCTAAGGTGTGTGCACGGCCAACAAACAATCTTTTCCAGACGCGAATTTCGGCGTACGGGCCCAACCCCTAGGGCCCAAGGTTAGGAATCGGAGGTCGACTGACCACCCGACGTGGAAGAGGCATCCTCCCGCCCCTGCCGGCCGTCCGAGGCTTCGCCCGAGGACGAGCCATGTACCGAGGCAGGGCTACCACCGGCGCGGTCCAAGAACGTGGCGGCCAGCTCGGCGGCGCGCAAGACCGCATTCAGGAAGTGGACCGAGTCCTCCTTGGACCTGGTCCCCACCCCCTGTGCCAGGGAAGAGGGGAGCCGACGAGGCTAGCTTCCCGGCCGCGCCCAGTCTGCGCATGTGGCAGCGCGCCGCGTGTACCGGGCAAAGCGGGTGCATGGGTCGTCGCCCCACAGGCGCAGCAAAGCGAGCGGCGCGTGAGCGTCTTCTCGCCGCCCTGCGCCGTCTCTTTGAGCCGGCCGACCCCTAAGCAACCAACCCGTGCAAGGCGGCAAACCAGCAAGGGACAAAGGGGGGGGGGAGATCAACAGACCCCGGCTTCAGGACCTCTTTTTGAAAAACCAGGCGCCCGGCGCTGAGATCTATGCCCGCAAAAAGGCGAGAGGCACCTACGGCTCTCATCGGCGGCGGCGGGCGCGAAGACGAGCAGGGCCCAGCGAAGATGTACCCGGCGAGCTAGTCCTCAAATCGCAAGCCGGGACGCTCCGGTCGGCAGGCTTCGCACTCATGGTTATCGTGCGGATGCCCGCCGACCGACGGGAAGCACACCGGGCGTAAGCACCTGCCCCGGCGAGGGCATCTGCCAATGTTGCCCGACCTCGCCCCTTCCACGGTCCCGCCGGCGGGTGAGTGTCCTCGACCGAGGCGCCGGGTGAGCCTCCTCTGGCGGTGGGCCCGGATGCCCGATCCGCCCAGCCAGGCGGCCGCCTGAGGCTTAGGATAAGGGGGCCCCATGGCGCGCTGCTCCGCCATCTCGCACTCAATGCTGGCGGCCAAGGCGGTGTCGTAATCGGCGCCCGAGGAAGCTGCAGCTCCTGGCGGCCTGCTCCTGCCTGATGAAGGCCTGGCGTCGAAGGTGTTCCTGCCAGTGTGGGTCGTCGTCCCGCCCCTGGAGGGGGGGGGACCTTGGTCGGCATCTTGGTTGGCGGCGCCGGTCCAGACGAAGAAGCCGTCGAAGAAGGCGGTGCGGCTCCGGCGTAGGCTCCACAAAGGCGGCGGAGGTGCCTTAGCCGCCGCCACCGGCTTGGCCGCCGCCTGGAAGGGGACGGCATCTGGGACCCCAGGCGCCGCCTCGTTGGCATCCAGCTCGTCGAGGTAGATGGAGTCGGGCGGTGGCGGCACCGGGGCGGCCTTAGGAGACGCCTGTCACGCTCCTCCCAAAACCGGCGGGTCTCCGGTGGGGAGGGATCGGGGTCCGTCATCGGCTGGACCGGCCCGGGCCCAGGCGAAGATGCCGAAGACGCCGGAGTCGATGAAGTGCGCGGGTCGCCGCCAGCCATAGTATCCTCGTCGGGCGTGGCCTCCGCTTCCGTCATGGCCGCCCTCAAATTGGCGGAGTCCTCCGGCGAGAGCGCCCTGATGGCGGCGGCCAGGCGCGTGACAGACAGCCCGGAGAGGAACGACCTGATGAAATGGGCGTCGTGTGTCTGCATGCCCCGGTCGTGGCCGCCAGCCGGGGGGGGCGGACCTGACGGTGCTGGGCTCTCGTCGAGGTCCAAGCCCAGCAAGTCGACGGAGCCAGCCGGATAGCCCCCGCCCGGCGAAAAAGCCTCGACAGGCAAACTGCCCATGGAGGCAGGCGCCCCGACAGGCGCAGGCTCAAGCCCGTCCAGGCTATCCAGGTCCAATCCACCAGGCACGGTCGTAGTAGGCGCCGATGTCGGGCCGAACTCCAGACTCACGCCAGGCGAGGCCTCAGGCACAACCGCCCCGGAAGGCGCCGCAGGGGCGGCGGCGGCATCCATCGCTGGCGTGAGTCCGGAAGCAGCCATGACCCGACGAGAGGCGGAACTGATCGGCCGCCCGCTGACGCTTGTTCCTACACACACACGTGTGTTACACAACATTTGCAGCTGTAGCCGGTGGCGCTGAGGCGCGCATGACAAGTGTGGTTGCATGCATGGTAGAATCAACTGATGCGCTGTAGTTGCAGAGGATTGATGCAGAGGTCTGCGATGGTCTGCGCATCTTGGCATGACACCTGCGACAGTACAACATGCTTCTACAGAACGAACTCCAAACAGATTGCAGCCTTCTGCCAACTCATGTTTGCGCCATCCTGGTCTCCTTACGACGACCAAAGCACACAGTTGCGCATTGGTGCGGCTATACTGTCGTCTCCTTCCGGCTCATACTACTTATCATGTTTCGTCCTGTTCACGGGGCAAGAGACAAGCGATAGCTTGCATTGACAGTGCCGCTGGCTTTGATGGCGTACCTCTGTCTGTTGCAGCGTCGGCAGCTCTACAGTTTTCTTCATCGGCAAAAGAACGACTGCCTTCCCAGAAATCCAGCACCCCACACATGAGGTACAATAATTGATTTGATTTGCTGTTGTCTTTTTGCTTTTCTGGTTTTCTGTTTCCAAGAGCCGCTGCAACTATGGCCAGGTGGACATTTTCCTTTAAAGCCACGTTCTTCACACTTACGCCAATTCCCCGCATCCTGCACAGCACAAATCTGGCACCGGCGTCCTATCATTTAATTTACACAGGACGCTCGCTGTGCGTGTCTCCCGCTGTGGTACGGATACTGGCGGAAACGATTTACTTCCTTTGGATGTAGGCCAGCGGGTTTGAGGCGCACACGGTAAAACGTCCAAGACGCACACGGCGAAACGCCCGTGCAAAAGAATCACACAAGGTCCTGCGGGTACGCACACAGCATCGTATCGCGCTTCACGCCACTAAACCGGAGGGTCCAGGGTAGGGTTCGTACACAACAACCAATTCAACATGTTCGCGCTTCAAGGCACGAAACCGGAAAATCTGGAGCAGGGTTTAATACGCAAAAATGAATGTGTTCGCATTTCAGGGCACGGAACCGGAGGGTCTAGGGTAGGGTTCATATGCTGCTCAGATATCTGAGACTCGCCCCCTCCTTTGGCGATCCGGGTTGACCACAGATCTTAAACTTGCCCCCCTCGTTTGGCGATCCAGGTTGATCCCAGATCTTAAACTCTCGCCCCTCCTGACGCGATCTCGATTCATCACATGTCTGAAACACGCCAGCCCCTCATTAGGCGATCCCGGTTCATCGCAATTCTTTAACCCGCCCCCTCATTAGGCGACCCCGGTTGATCATAGGTCTTGACCCTCGTTTGAGACCCCGAATCATGACATGACAATCATGACATATCATATATCCTAGACACGCCCCGTCATTCGGCGATCCAGGTCGATCACATTCTTAAACCCGCCCCCGTTCATCACATATCTTAAACTTAATTAAACATCGCCCCGCATCTGGCAACCCCGGATGAGCATACATCTTCAGCACGCCCCCTCATTTGGCAATTCAGGTTCATCACATATCTTACACTCGCCCCCTGCTTTGGCGTGCCCGATTCATCGCTTTTCTTAAATACGCCCTCTCACTATAGGGGATCCCGGTTGATCGCCCGAATCACGACGTATCCTGAACAAGCCCCCTCCCTTTGGCGATCCCGATTCATCACACATCTGAAACTCGCCCCATTTGAAACTCGCCCCATTTGGCAATGCAGGTTCATTACAAATCTTAAACCCCCCCCCTCTCGAGGCGATCCCGACTCAATACAAACTGGAACACACCCCCTCATTTGGCGATCCCACTTGACCGCATTTCTTGAACCCGCACCCTCATCAGGCGATCCCGGTTGATGACATATCTTAAGCTCGCCCCCTCCTTGGCGTTCCCGATTCATCACACATCTGAAACACGGCCCCTCATGAGGCGATCCCGGTTCATCACACTTCTTCAACACGCCACCTCATTTGGCGATCCTGGTTGATCACAGATCTTAAGCATCACGTATCTTCAACACGCCCCTTGCTTTGGAGAGCCCCCATCACATATCTGAAACATGCCGCTTCATTTGGCGATCGGGTTGATCACGTAGCTTAAACTCGCCACTCCTTTGGCGACCCCGATTCATCACACATCTTAAGCACGCCTCCTCCTTTGATCCAGGTTGATCAAACTTCTTGAACACGCCCCCTCATTTGGCGATCCAAGAAACGAAAAACAAGTGAAAAAGCAGAACAGCAAAAGCAAGAACAAACAGAAAACGACAAGCAAACACAAGCAGAAGGCAGAACGAAAAGCGGAAAAGCAGAAGGTGGAAAGCGAAAACACAAGCAAGTTGCAGAAAACCACATAAACACAACAACAAACTAAAACATAAGCACAGGGCTCCCACGCACCACGCATGATGGCAGGCGACCAATTCGTCCCTGGGAATCGTTCCCCACAATGTTCAGTGTCTCATGCCGGGTGGATGTGTCGAGAAGTTTCGTCATGCTCCAGCAATTCATGTCCGAAGCCGTGCTCTGTTGTCCGCAACATCCAATCGTGCGGGTCGGAGCTTCCAGGACGGTATGCCCCATCCTAAGAACTAGCGGTGCAACTAGCAGACTCCAAAGCACGGCTGCAAGAAAGAACAGATGCCTGCTTCTATTTGAGGGTGGCATGGAGCTGTAAAGGAGACCGGCTTGTGACGGGCTGAACTTTAGATATCAACATCTTAAAGATGTGCGGGCAGAAGGCCGCCTTCTCGGTAGAATAGCGATGACCCTTTAGACCCAGACCAGCGGGACTTGTGCCTGCTCACAGGTGTCGTGGTCTGGCCGAGATGGATCAGCTTGCCGACTGGGCTCCGACCTCGAGCAAACCAGACTGCAACAATAGAGGCGGCTGCAAACTCGAGGCTGCTGCTTCAAGCTGCCCCCGAAAGACAGTCCTTTCCTATCGTTCCTGTGCAGTGACGGTCGCGTTTGGCACACTGAAATTCACAGAACGAGGCTTTTGTTTGGCTAAGCCGTCCACTGCTGGGTCTCTTGGTCTGTGCCACCCTTCTTCCATGAAAACGTTGAACTCCTGTCAACCAGCGTCTCTTCGTCTGCGTCCTGTATCTGTATCTAGCCATCTGCACCTTTCGCGGGCAGGTCCTGCCAGCTTGTGCAGGATACCCGCTTCGTCCAGCAGACTCAGTGCAGGACACGGGAAAGAAGGAAACTTCCATTCAACAAGCACATACACGCAGCAGCAGGGGAACTACAAAACCGTTCGCTTGTATGGATGCACCATCAGTCTTTCAGCATGTGCCTGTTCGGTCATGCCACACGTGCTTGCCTTCCTTGGGTTGCAGTCTTCTAAAACAGATGCAGGGCACTTCCGCGACTAGGAAATTCGGAAACGAAGGCTCTCCCTAAGGTGGACCACGCCGTCCTCTAAGACGTACCGTCGTCACCTGCTGTAGTTTCACATCCCTGTTGAATTTCCATTGGCCGGCCTGCATGCAAATTGAGCTGTGAGCTGGCCTGATGCTTTCAGACGGTGACGGAATGGAAGACGGGCCCTGTTGGTCGCTGAGGATAGGCGCGAAGGTACTGATCATCACAGTTCGCAACTTGACCGACAACAAGGGTACTGCTAGGTAAATTACTGTGATCAATGCGAATCCTTGTCTACAGGAAAACATGTAAGGGCCTGATGCTCATTTTGCGCATTTTTCATACCATCACCCGGAATTCTCCAGATGCCTGGCTGTGCCAGAAAGAAAATCCAGCTGCTCCAGACCACAACCATTCCAAAAGATCATAAGGACAGCAAGTGACACATATGACAGCAAATCCAGGATGTCAGGGGCCAGTTACTTGGGTATAGCTCGCAAAAGAAACGACGTCCAAAACAAACACGGGCGGAAATTGCTGCACGCGAGGAATCACATACCAGTGTTAAAACAAAGCAATGGCACACGAAGCGGAGCATCCCAACATGCGGCAATCTCTCCCAGCGGCCCCGTGTTGGCAGATGCCTGAACCCAGCCGCAACTGTCCAACCAGTTAAATTGACATGGATGCGACCCGCCTGGCTAGGACAATGCTCGAAAGTGGGATTTTGGCCTGAGGGAGATGAGCGACCGTTGCATATATCTAGGTAATTGTACCTATGTTGCTAAAGCAGGAAATGCACTGCTTGGGATAGCAAGCAACTAGGGCTGGGGTCTCTGTCCACGCCTCTTGACTCGAAACGGCTGCGAAAATCAGCGAAGCATCCACGGGCACTCAGAGCTTGGCTTGGCTCGAATCGAGCCCCATGCTGCGGGCCGCTCTCCTGCGCTACAGCAACCTCCACGCCTGTAGCGATCCGAAGAAAGTCGCTAAGTCCTGGCAGCCTCCTCCTTTGACCTGACTGATGCGACTTCATGCCACTTCGACTCTTTTGCATCTCCAGGCCTGGCGATTGTAGCCTGTCGAGCCTGCCAGATGTTACAGTAAAGGGCTGGTGTCCGTGACTGTGTGCTATGAACTCTGTGGCAGCCTTCTCTCGCTCGTACTCTTCGCGTCTCGCCTCATCCTGAAGACATGTGCAAGTGTTGTGCTGTTGATGCAACTGCAACTGCCAGCTGTGTCACCCGTCCCAACCTCTGCAGCTCTTCTGCGTGCGTCAGCAAGTTCCTTTGTAGAATCTGCGGGTTTTGGTACAACACCGGACGGCGAAACGAACCCGCAGTTTCGGGCCGTGCTAATCACTGTTTTACAAGCGGGCCTCCTGCTTCCTCGTGAAGCCATCGAAACTGTCCTCTGGCGGCCGATTCAACAAATGATGCAGCATGAGTCAGCATGAGTAGCCACAGCAACACGTCGCCGTTACAGCACGTAACCTTTCAGAAATGAGCCCAAGTTCAAGGCTCCTCAACTGCAACCCGTTACCGTCAGAACTGCAACCACAGAGGAAAGTGCCGTGAGCTGCACGAACCATATTGCATCACGTGGTCTGCGCTCTTCCACGCTCGACTGGATCAGCGGTTTTGCGCTCCTTGGTACCCGTATCTTCCGGACCGGGCGGCTGCACCTGCAGGCGTCAAACAGCAGTCACAGGTCCGGCTCGAGCTTGCTGGATGCCCGAGATTCAAACGCTTGCTTTTTCAGAAAATTGAATCGTGCTGCTGCTCCGAGAATCCAAGCTTGGACGACCCAGAGTCTCGTCAGAATGCCCAATCCAAACCCCGACACCAAAACCTCAGAGGCAAAAGCAGAAACACCGGATGTTTGGTCTGAAAACATTTCTGGTCCCAGGATGCGGAACGTCGGGTGCCACCTTCGGGGCCCGCGGGGCCACTTTTCGCGGGCCACTTGCCTTTCCGCTTTGCTTTGCCCGGATCTGGGCGTCAAAAAGTCGGGCGCGGACCTTTTTGGAGGCCACGGGGCCCCGACTGCGCCCCTCCAGCGTCACACCCCCACCACGATCACATGGGCACGGTGTCTGCGCTTTTGCATAGCCTGCCTATATACAGGATATGAGGAGTCGGTCTTCGAAGATAACCCAAGGATATGGGTTGACGAATGCTTCGTTCACCCTGTCCGCTGGCTGTTGTTACCATGGTGTACAGCATTCTCCTAGATTAGATTCGAGGAATCTATCTTGGCTCGAAGTCGCATCCTGTAAGTGAGCACAGGCCGGCTTATTCTCCGTGAGCCCAACCACCCGCATTGACGATGTAACTTGTTATCAACAGAACAGGAAAGACACGGGCGACCACGTGGGCAATTTTTCAGCGCTAGGAACTCCGATCTGAGATGACCCTGCACATGTCAACGTAGACCGTAGGAAAACTTCTCCACGCGGCTGCCTTAAGTCTGGACGAGAACGCCATTGTGGCGGCCGACCGAACTGACCGCTGCCTATCGTGAAACACTATCTCGACAGCAGATGCCGAGGACCGTATCTAATCATGTCGCTTTCTGCTTTGACGACATTCCCTGACACACCTGCCGAGCATGAACCGTGTCGACACTGCCCCGACAGATCGAAGATGGCAAGAGCAAAATGGCTCGGGCGAACATCCGCAATCTGTGCTGGGTCAGGCAAGCAAGCTGGCAAGCCCGAAAAGCTCAGTGGTTGGGGACGAAGCCATGCGAATTGTGCATGGTCAGTGTCGCGTGGAGGTCTGCGCCTTGTTTTCCTCTGCATGCAGCAGCTCCCCAGTTTGAGAGGCGAGACACATGGTAAAGATGCGTCAGGAGTGCTTTGTACAGAAAAATCAGGGGATGAAGAATCACTCGGTGATCACACCCCGGACATAGCTTCACTGCTAACGTTGGCGTGGCCCACGTCCACGGCCAACTGGCAAGTCAACCTTCGAATTCTGGAGACACAACTTACACACATGGAAGAGAATGGTCTCGGCGCCAAGCAGGCTGCAGACCGGCTGCATCTGGCGTGGTGCTTCTCGCAGCCTACGAGATGCGACATGATGCCATGCAAATCCTCTTGCCTCCGAATGCACACATCGCACTCCAACAAGGAGGCATGTCCACCAGTTCTGTGGCTCATGCTGTTGAATTAAGCCTTTTCGCGGTTGGAAATTACCATGACTGAATCATATGTGTATATGTATGTATGTATATATATATATATATATATGAGATGCCGTTTCGCGTGTCGGTACACTGCCCCTACCCCCATGGTGTCCCTGCCCATGGTATACACCCCAGATACTCGTGAGGGTCGTCACTTTTGTCTCAAAAGTGCCAACAGTCACAGGGATTGGCCGGGATCCTTGTGAGTGTTGTGACTTTTGAAGCTATGCAACTTCGTGGCGTGTCCAAAGTGCCGACACTCACCTGGATGGGCCGTGGTTTCGGTCTGCGCCGCGCCCAGCTGCTGACCCTCAACCCCTTCCATATCTATGCACCTAAACCCTAAACAACCCCACCATCCACACCACAGCGGGGGTGCGAGTGCAAGCCCTACTAAACCCTAAACCCAACACCACAGCGAGGGGGGAAGGGGGTTATACACTAAAGCTGAAAAACACAACCCACAACCACACCACACCACGGGCGGGGAGAGGGGGGGAGTTGGGGCGCGGGTGCAAACCCTAAACCCTAAACCCACACCCACCACGACACCACAGCAAAGGGGAAGGGGGTTAAACACAACCCACCACCACACGCGGGGGGCCGTGGGACAGCATGAGAGATGCCTTCCGGTCTGTCCTTCCGATTTGATAGTCATCGCCCCTGCCCGCCCGCCTTACTACGTATACTACTACGCATACTACTACCACTCTACTACGTATACTACTACGTATACTACTGCGTATATACTACTACGTATATACTACTACGTATATACTACTACGTATATACTACTACGTATATACTACTACGTATACTACTACGTATACTACTACGTATACTACTACGTATACTACTATACGTATGCTACTACTACTACCACCACCACCACCACCACGACTACTACTACTACTACTACTACTACTACTACTACTAGTACCACTACATCTATAACCACCACCACCACCGCCACCACGACGACGACGACGACGACGACGACTACTACTACTACTACTACTACTATACATTACTATACTACCACTACGACTACGACGAGGACTGACTACTACTACCACTACTACCATCACTACCACTACTCCTTCTCCTTCGACTACTGCTGCCAATGCGAGTGCTAGCGCTAGTGCTGCTACTACTACTACTACTACTACTACTACTCCTGCTGCTGCTGCTGCTGCTGCTGCTGCTGCTGCTGCTGCTGCTAGTACTGCTAATACTACTACTACCACCATTGTTTCTGCTGCTGCTAAAGGAAAGAAACCCCAAAACCCTAAAACCGTGTAAACCGATGCTGCACTGCGCGCACCCCTAAACCCTGAACATCCCTAACCTAAACCGATGTGCGCACCGGGCGTGTGTAACCTTAAGTATCAGGACCCTAAACCCTGTAAACCCTAGAACCCTTTTCAGCAGGCTTGCTTCGTCGCCCGGAAGCTCCCTCTGCCCAGAACGTGTGTCCAAGCAGAGACGACCCCTCGAAACCCGGAATCCCCTGGAACTCATGCCAGTCGCTTCGAGCACTCGTGCCACACATCAAGAACGATATCACACAAGAATACTATGGAGCACGTTAAGTTGAATCCGTAAACTCTACAAGCCCTAAAACGTGGTTTGGGGCGGGGACCATGGAGCACCATGGAGCAGCACAGGAAAATGAGCATCGGAAGTCATCAAAACAAGCCCACAAAAATCGTGTGCCAGTGCGCGCGCAGAGGGACGAACCATGCAGCTGCAAAGAACAGCGGGAGGCCACAAGGAAAGCACCAGGACACCGCCAAAATGCTTTTGTGCCCAAGGACCTGAACCGGCGCCACAGACCCCAAAAGCAAAGACCCCGAATCCCGCCGAATCCCTAAAACCTACAACCCCTAAACCTAAACCGATGCGCGCGCGCCGAGCGCGCGTCTGACCATTTTGGGCCTCCCCATATTGCAAAAATAAACGGTATTTTGCAGATTGGTGACCTCTCATATTGCCAGGTTTCGCGATTTTGGACCGTTTTGGGCCTCCCCAAGGACCACCCAAATTGGTGCAAATAATACGGGTGGTGCAAGTGGGACGTTGTCATCTTGATCGTCTTGGTCATTGTGAACGCATGACCACGGGGAGGGGGGAATATATCTTGGTCATCTTGGTAATGGGATCAAGTGGCGAAAGTGCACGTGGTGCCAGTGGTTGGTGCGAGTGGTGCAGGTCATGATGACCAAGTTGACTCGTGACCTGTTCCGGCCTCTCCCGCCATGACATGGTAGATTTTGCAAGATGACGTGTCAACTTGCCCCCCATTTTTGCATTTACTCCCCGACCAAGACGACCACGTTGACACGTCATCATCTTGCCCCCCTGAATACTCCTTTTACCAAGACGACTGAAAAGACAAACATAATTACTGGTTCTCGTTTCCCGGCACCACGTACTCCTCCTCCTCCTCCTCCTCCTCCTACTCCTCGTCCTACTACTGCTACCGCTACTGCTGCTACTACTACTACTACTACTACTACTACTGCTATTACAACCGCTACTACCACTACAACCACTACGACTAGCGACTACTGCTACTACTACTACTACTACCACCACTACTACTACTAGTACTACTACTACTACTACTACTACTACTACTACTACTAGCAATAGTAGCCGTAGTAAGTAGCAGTGGTAGGAGCTGCTGCTCCTCCTCCTCCTCTTCTCCTCCTCCTTCTGC